TATATATAAAATAACAGATTTGGACCTTGGCGGACAGCACACGTATCTACTGGGCACTCTCCCCAGGGCAGGGCAGGGCAGCATCTTATCCAGCATTCGTGAGTGTGGCCAATGCCAGGCTTGAGCATCTGGACAGGCTTCGTGATCACCTTCCTGCCTGCTCCTCCGTCCCAGGCAAGTCTTTTCAAAAGACCAGCTCACAGAATAACAGAGTTTGTACTCCTTTAAGGGCCTATATTAAATTGGTGTCCCAAGTCATCAGGCTTATTTTTTTTTTTAAGTGATGAAGGAGTCCAGAGAGCACAGAAATAAAATTGCCAAGTTTTTACTTACATGTATGTTTGTCTCAAATTCGGAAGTGATGTGTGAATAGACTGCGAGAGCGGGAAGTGACACCAGGATGGCCCCAATGAAATGGCGTGGGAGCCAGCCAGCTATCCACTCCAGCAGGCGCTTGGTACAAGCCATCGCATCCTCCAGGAAAAACACCATCCTGTAACAGGGAGGAGAGAAAAGAGACAGGGTGTCTGTGGGTGGGCAGGCCTGCCAGAGAAGAGGGGACGGAGGATCCACAGCCGGCACCGCTGCCCCCTCTCACCCATGCTGGTGCCGCTGGCGTGAACCACAGGCAGAGCCCCCACACCCCTCACCGTGGTAGAGGGCAAGTACACTGGCCGTGCTCGGCTCAGCATACCTGATTCACTTGATGCCTTCAGATAAGATGTGCTGATAAAGAGCCAAGCAAGCCTCTGTGGGGCTAACAGAGCAGGTAAGAACTGGGCACACAGACATTAACAGTTCCTGTGAAAGTGCCCACCTTACTGTCATTTGTTTCTAGGGCAGGAGGTCTCGAGTGGGTGGTTCAGGGCTGTTAGGGAATTTTGTGGGGCCCCATTGGTTGCCCCAATGATTGAGGGGTACTACTGACATCTAGAGAAGCATTCTGCAACGTGCAGCGAAGCTCTGCCCTGCACCCCACACAACTGCCACACGCCCCCGGACACATGTGGAGATGAAAAGCCTGCTGACAATGACCTCAGCCTTACAGCCTAGCTGCATTTCGTTTACAAACAGAAAGTGGTTTCTGCGAGTTGTTAACACACACTTTTCTGGGAATGAACTACTGTGTAAACCAAGCAAGATTACCCTGTTTTGTCTGGGACATCACCAAGAGTCGTTCAACATTTCAGAAATCTCAGGCTGCAACTCAGCCCATGGTGCTTGTGCCACCAAACCTGCACGCCCCCAACGATCCACATTTGGAGCTGCCACATTGGCAGGGATTGTGCACAGGGGGGCAGACAGCTGACAATTCTGTTAGAACTCCAGATGGCGGTGCCCTAGCATATTTGAGGTGAAGCACTACATATTTCATTTTAAATGGCTTTTTTGTTGTTTCTCCTTCATATTGGAGTGACAGCATTTCACTGATTCTTTTAGAAGTTGTGTGTACAGGTGGGCTATATTTCAGGAGAGTGGTGTGAACATCATAAAATATTTTTCATAAAGAATGGAGCTGAGTATGTGGGGCTGAGAACTGTGGTCCTGCAGGTAAGAATGGCCTTGGTTGAGGGATCCTAGAGTCAGGAGTGCCTGGACTCCAGCAGTGGGAGATGGAAGAGAGGGCTGTGGGGGTCTGCCTCAGAAGGGAGACCCCCACACACACAGTCCCTCTCTGAAGCCAGCCCCTGGGGAAGGTGAAGGGGGGACAGGCCCACTGTCCTCGCTTGTGAAGGGGCCAGGAGCCGCTGCTGAACTTTGAGTGCACAAAGACCCATCAGGACTTCTCACATGCACCCAGGCACCTGCACCTTCAGGCCTTGACACCTACAGCACTACGTTCAGCCTCCATGAGGAACCCCCAAATTTCAGCTATCTCCACATAGAGCCAGGCCCCATCTGACCACCCTTTTTTAAAAAAAATATTTTTTTTTATTGATTTCAGAGAGGAAGGGAGAGGGAGAGAGAGTAGAAACATCAATGATTAGAAAGAATCATTGATTGGCTGCATTCTGCACGCCCCCTACTGGGGATCGAGCCCACAACCTGGGCATGTGCCCTTGACCAGAATTGAACCCGGGACCCTTCAGCCCAATGCTTTATTCACTGAGCCAAACCAGGTAGGGCCCATCTGACCTTTTTAAGTGCAGGACTATTCTGGCCTCCTGATACTTAAAAGGTTAATGGAATCCTTGGAATATTTCCAAGGATAACCACAAATATGCTCAAAGACAGAATACATAAGCCCTACAAGGAGAGAAAGGGAGCTGAGCCCCAGCCAGGGAAGGCAGCCTGGGAAGCCCTCCACAAAGGTCTCAGGGCTGCAGAATTCCAAGGACAAGACGCCGGTTCGCTTGCCTTTCAAAGGCACAGCACAAATGTCTGGAAGGACAAGTCCTGAGCTGAGACTAGACAGCCTTCCAGATGAGGTGCCCGGCCCGGGCCAGCCACTGAAGCAGACACAGAACCGGCCTCCCTGGGGCACCTGCATATTCCTCAGCGTAGGTTCTTGCTAGCCTTGGATCCTAAATATAAATGTGTCCTTCAGGGTCGGAACCTCTCCCAGGCTTTGACGGCCCAGGTAAAGTGAACTTTTAAAGTCACACCAGAGGTCTTTCAGGGGCACAGTGGCTGCCACATTTACCCGGCCCAGCACCTCAGCATCTGGGCACAGCCAGGCCTGGCGTCTGTCTGACATGCAGCCCTCTGTGGTCTCTAAATGTGGCTTAGCCCCGATCCTGCAGAATTGGGTCCAAGGAACAGGGTATAAAGGGTTTTTAAAAAATGTATGGAGACAATGCTAGCCTCAGAGAGGTCAAGAGCATATCGAGCTGTAGGTTGGTGCCAGAAGGGAACCTGGAGCTGGGGTAGGGAGGGGAGTACAGTAACTGCAAATGGGTATGTGTTTTCTTTGGGGAGATAGAAGATCTGTAAAATTACATGGTGATGACTAAAATAAGTGGATTCATTACATGTGAATCATATAAGAAAACTAAGTTTAGCCCGGCTAGTGTGGCTCAGTGGTTGAGCATCGACCTATGAACAAGGAGGTCATGGTTCGATTCCTGGTCAGGGCACATGCCCCGGTTGAGGGCTCGATCCCCAGTACAGGGCATACAGGAGGCGGCCAATCAATGATTCTGTCTCATCACTGATGTTTTTATCTCTCTCTCCCTCTCCCTTCCTCTCTGAAATCAATAAACGTTTTTTTAAAAAAAACTAAAAATCTAAGTTTAAAAAGGAAAAAACCAAACTAGGGGCCTGAGGATGACTTAGTTTGGGTTCCCCAGAAGCAGAGCTGACTTATGTCCCAGGCAGCTCAGTGAGGGGTGCAGAGCCAGGACCAGAGGGGCAGGCCCACAGGGAGGGCTGTGTAATAGAGGAGTCTCTTATAGGTAACACAGCTCCACTCAGCTGGAGGGGATTTGGGGAGACAGCAAGGATACACCTGCGTTACCTCCACCAGGGCCAGGAGATGAGCGTGTGGCCTCTAGCAGTCCTCAGCAAATGGCCCCTCCTGGGGACTTCAGAGGGGAGCAGGATGACAGTGAGAGTGGAAGGGAGGGGGGCACTCGCTCAGGGCCAGATCTGAAGCTATTGCTTCCTGTCCTGGGATGTTGGGGAAGAGGAACAGAAACTTATGGTCAGGGCCCTTCTCCCTGTTTCTGTTTTACCCCCAGCTTGGAAGTCTACTAGGCTGACAGGCTGCCCTGTTGGGAGTGACAGGGCTGAACAGAGGAGATGGTTGTGGTGGAAGGACCCAGTGTCATAGTGCCCAGGAGGCAGATGGCACAGGCAGTCTGGGTGCTTGTGAACAGAATGCCCCGCATTCACATCTAGTCAGAAATGTACAGAGCAGCTGTGGCCTTCCTCAGTGTTAAACTGAACCCTGACATCAAGCTGGGCAGGTCCTGAGGGCCCAGCTTCTGAGGGGCCACTGTTGTCTATTCAGACCCTCTGTCCATTTTTATTTTTATTATTATTTTTAAATATATTTTATTGATTTTTTACAGAGAGAAAGGGAGAGGGATAGAGAGTTAGAAACATCGATGAGATAGAAAAACATCGATCAGCTGCCTCCTGCACATTCCGTACTGGGTATGTGCCCGCAACCAAGGTATATGCCCTTGATCGGAATTGAACCTGGGACCCTTGTGTCTGCAGGCCAACACTCTATCCACTGAGCCAAACCGGTTAGGGCCCTCTGTCCATTTTTAAATGGGTTATCTTTTTATTATTGAGTTTACATTCTAGATATTAGACCCTGGTCATAGATAAGATCTGCAAATAGTCTCTCCAATTCCGCAGGTTCTCTCTGACTTTTTTGATGGTGTTCTTTCAACTTAAAAATTTTGAATTTTGGTGAAGTCCAACTATTTTTTCTTTGGTTGCTTGTGCTTTTTGTGTGAAGTCTAAGAAACCACTGCTTGATCCAAGCTCACAGAGACTTACACCTATGATGTCTCCTAAGGGTTTTATAGTTTCGCTCTTTTCTCTAGGAGAGGCGTCTGCTCATCTGCTGGCAGCCGCCTATCAGTTGCACCCTGTACACGTCCTTTTCCTTTCCTTTCTTATGCCCTATCTTCCCACCTTCTCTTTTTTTTAATCTCTGATTTGGAAGATACAGGACTGGCCGGCGGCATCAGGGCTGCAGAGGACACTGACTCTCTGGTAAGGAGAGTGCCCACCTGTGCCCAGGGCCAGGGTCTTCAAGGGAGAAACCTGGGAAGTAGGGCTGGGGGAGGGAAGGGAAGAGGACCCTTCACCTGAAATGAGCTCGCAGAGGCAGCCCGCTTCAGTCCGCCGGTCAGCTGTGCCGCAGACTGTTCAGTCATAAACTGTGGAGCCAGCAGAGGGAGCCAGAGGCTAAAAGCTGGAGAACCGCCCTGCAGGTGAGCCTTTACCTGACGGAGACCATGAGGGACAGCACCTCCAGGAGCAGGGCCACCCCGAAGACCACCAGGGTGACTGGCTGGGGAGGCGTGGTGGTAGCCCCGTACTTCAGGAAGCAGGTGATGGAGAGAATCAGAAACACTGTTGTTGACAGAAACACATCCAGGAGGGAGCTGAAGGTGGCACTGGCAAAAGTCTTCACGGGAGAATTCTTCATAACCTGTTTGGAGTAAGAGAAAGGTGGCGATATGAATAGATGCTGTGACAGATGGTCATGGAGTATAGCTTAGGTGGGAAAACACAAACATTTGCCTACCCCCAACCAGTTACAGGGTGATAAGGGCTTTAGGTGGGCCATCTCCCGACTATTTCTCTGCTTAACAATGAGGAAACTAAGGGAAGAGAAGTTCAGGAACTTGCCCAAGGTCACACAGCAACTGACTGCACACCAGCAAGTTCTCACAGGCACCTTACCTACTGACCCTGAAAAGTGATTACTGACTGGTAAAGTCACCGATTCTGTGTCTGTAAAGTCAGTAGCACAAAAGCCATGTGCTGGGCGCTTCCACTGAATGTCTGGGTCCCAGGTTCAGGGTGGGTAAAAGCTGGCTTCATGACAGAAATAACAGGTGGGGACTGAAGCAGCAGCAGATGAAAATACAGGCATGTCCAGTGACAGTAAGAGAGGCTCATGCCTTCACGCAGGGCCTGGCTCTGTGCTGGGTGCTGGGATAGACATGAAACAAGGTCCTAGGGGAGCACTAATGGTGGATGCACCAGCTGCAGAGGAGAGGGACTGGGAAATGACAAGCCTTGGTCGTTTAGACTCAAAAGCACAGAAAGATTTGGAGTTTTCGCCCTTGTGTAGATAAATTCACATAAAGATGCAATTTAGAGCTTGCAGATTGTGGGAAATCAGTATTAGCCTTCCTTTTCTTTCTTCAGTAAAATTATAAGGAACATGCACCTCTTCTTGATAGCTGGTCCTGTAGGCTTGCTCTAGCTCCTGGTCCAGGAAGTTCAAGCTGAACTGATTAATGGGTGGCTTAAAAAAATAATCTTTCATCAGGCTGGAAGAGATGAAAAACGCAACTGATCAACATGAAGCACAATCATATTTATTTTATCAGCAGGCTGCAATTAGTTACCAAAACGTCACTCATTAAGCATATCACAAAAGCTGTATCTAAAAGTCACTACATGACTTTTTCAGACATGGCTCGACCACCCCTTTTAGGATATATCTCTGGAAAGCGATGCTGAACATAATCCCATTTTATGTTTCCCACCCCTAAAGAATGACCATTCACCATAATTACAGCACACATCAGCAGAACCCTGCTTTTGAAAACATCTTCCCGATATCCAGGATGAGAGGAAGGCGGCTCTTTTGTTCTAGGACACCATCTTCTGAAGGACCAGCAAATCCCTGTACTGAGAGCACTTAGGTCGATTTGAAGGCTAACAATGAAAATGTAATTTGGAGCCGCCTGTCCTGTCATTCAGAGTACTGACAGTAATCACCACCATCAAAGAAAGCTAACAGAATGTTATCACAAAATTGTGATTACAGTTAGTGTAATTTTGATGCTACTGTCACAAATGCAGATTGTGTGTGAAACCTGAAAAACGGTAACACTCAATGACTTTGATAGCAGAGAAATGAAACCTGCTTTACGTAACTGGTTCTTTTATGGATTGCCAGCAAATAGTTAATATCCTTTTTCTATTGCAGAAAATTGCTATAATTTTTTTTTAAAAAATGTTAACATGGTTTCAGAAGGCAAATACAGCTAGGGGCTGTAGTCTCTCTCCCTTACATAATAACTACTAGAATTAAATCAGATGGAATAGGTGAAGTGCCTAGCATGTGCCTGTCACACAGCAGAGTTCAGTACATATGCCTCCTCCTTTCTTTGCAACAGAGTGGACTCTCTTTTTTGCCTTTAAAAAAATTTATTGAATTGATTGGGGTGACATTGGTCAACATGAACATATAAGTTTCAGGTGTGGGTTTCTATGTTGCAAGATCTGTATATTGCACTGTGTGCCCACCACCCAAAGTCAAATCTTCTCCTGTTATATTAAGACTGCCCCATTCCCCCCACACCCCTTCCCTCTGGCAATCACCACACTGCTGTTTGTGTTTATGAGTTTCAGTTTTGTATCCCACATATGAGTGAAATCATGTAGTTCGTAGCTTTTTCTGATGGACTTATTTCACTTAGCATAATGTTCTCAAGGTCCATCCATGTTGTTGCAAATGGCGCTAGCTCATCCTTTCTTATAGCTGAGTAGTATTCCATTATGTACCACATCTTCTTTACTCAGTCCTCTATCATAGGGCACTTTCGTTGTTTCCATGTCTTGGCCACTGTGAATAATGCTGCATTGAACACATGGGTGCACATATCTTTGCAAATACATGATTTTGAGTTTTCCGGGTATATACCCAGAAAAGGGATTGCTGGGTCATATGGTAGCTCTAGTTTTAATCTTTTGAGGAACTGCCAGAGTGATTGTACCAGTCTACATTCCCACCAGCAGTGAATGATGGTTCCCTTTTTTCCACAACCTCTCCAACACTTGTTATTGCTTGTCCTGTTGATAATGGCCATTCTAACAGGGGCAAGGTGGTGTCTTACTGTAGTTTTGACTTGCATTTTCCTAATTGCCAGTGAGGTTGAACATCTTTTCATATATCTACTGGTTGTTCATACGTATTTTTGGGAGAGGTGTATTTTCAGGTCCTCTACCCACTTTTTGATTAGGTTACTTTTTGTTTGGTGTTGAGTTTCACGAATTCTTTATATACTTTAGAAATTAAACCTTTGTCAGAGCTACGTTCTGCAAATATCATTTCCCATCTAGTTGGCTGCCTCTTTGTTTTGTTGTCAGTTTCTTTTGCTGTGCAGGAGCTTTTTAGTATGATATGGTCCCATTCATTTATTTTTGCCTTTACTTCCCTTGCTTTGGGGTCAAGTTCATAAAATGTTCTCTAAGACCCAGGTCCATAAGTTTGGTACCTATATTTTCTTCTATGTAACTTACTGTTTTGGGTCTAAGCCTTTGATCCATTTTAAATTAACTTTTGTACATGGGGACAAACTGTAATCCAGTTTCATTTGTTTGCATGAAGCTTTCCAGTTTTCACAGGACGATTTATGGAAGGGACTATCTTTATTCCATGTGTGTTTCTAACTCCTTTGTCAAAAATTATCTATCCATATACATGTGGTTTTATAGCTGGGCTTTCTATTCTATTCTATTCTATTCTATTCTATTCTATTCATCTGTGTGTCTGTTTCTCTGCCAATACCAAGCTGTTTTGATTATCGTAGCTCTGTAGTATAATTTGAAGTCAGGTAGTGTGATACCGCCAGCTTTGTTCTTTTTTCTCAGGATTGCTTTGGTTATTTGGGGTCTTTGCTGGTTCCATACAAATCTGATGATTTCTCGTTCTATTTCTTTTAAATGACATTGGGATTTTGATGGGGATTGCATTAACTCGGTATATTGATTTGGGTAATATGGCCATTTTAACTATGTTGATTCTTCCAATCCATGAACACAGAATATTTTTCTATTTTGTTGTGTGTTTTTCTGTTTCTTTAAATAATGATTTGTAATTTTCAGCATATAGGTCTTTCACATTTTTTGTGAAGTTTATTCCCAGGTATTTTATTCTTTTAGTTGCAATTGCAAAAGGAATTGTTTTTTCCCATTCATTTTCAGAGGGAGTGGAAGAGATAGAAAGACAGAAACTTTGATGTTAGAGAAACACATTGATTGGTAGCCTCCTGGATGAGCACAGACCAGGGTCCAGGCCAGAGAGGAGCCTGCAACCAAGGTACATGCCCCTGACCAGAATCGAATCAGGGACCCTTTGGTCCCCAGGCCAAC